TGGGCTTGGGTATAGAATCTATAGGTGTTAGGGGGATATTGGGGGATAACTTGGAGCATTTCGACGATGCTTTGGTAGCGAGTGTTAGCTCTGAAGAGGGATTAAGTATTGAAGTAGCAAATCCCGCAGAATATCTCGAGTCTCCATCTCTCGATCTTTCTGAAGAGACGTTAGTCAGCGACTACTGCGTTGTGGAGGATGACGTGTACTCCATCAGATTTCATGCACGCATGTGGGGTAGGGGTGACATCTCTATTAAGGCTTTCGATTATGGGTCAGCAAAGTATAGCAAGCATAAGCCTCAAACTGTGTTGTCACGCTTACGGACTCGTAATCGGCCTACCGATTGGAAGTATGCTTCTCCATCTCCGAATTCTAGGGTAGGGACGCTAAGCCAACCAGTAAGTGGTATTCTGGTGAAAAAGAATCGATGATGGGTTTTGCCTACGTGAGGCGTGAGAATTGGAATGCGAGGTTGTGGTCAGTAATATTTGATATATCGATTTTGGGCTGGAGTATTTTGTGTGTGTGATTAGCCATCCTTTTCCTTTTGCAGCTATGAAGTTCAGGAGCGTGGCTCTGATTTCAAGATCTCTGAGGTGCTCTAAGCTCGGCAATCCTAGAGCAGGAAGCACCTCTGCTGTTCATACCAAAGCTCTGATCCCGTTGAGTAAGCCTTCTGGATCCTCTGGATAAGCCACTCTTGCCGGTGGCACCGACAATAGGGATGGCAAGAAAATTCGAACCCGCGGGTACCCTACCGGACCCAACCCGGTCAACGCGGGTAAAACCCATGTTGACGGGTTTTGGGCCGGGTTTGGGTTTAAACCCGCCCACACTCATATAATTAATTTTTTGGGTAGATTTAATATTCTGAACAATATATCTTTTTTAAACAGCTAATCTTCTTTATGTGGAGGCATGTCTAATTTGTTCTTTCTAATTGTGTACGATGAAGTTGATATTATGGAGTGGAGAGTGAAGACGCTTAGTTGACAAGGTGGAAGTAGCTGTCAATTAATCATGTTGTTTATAGATGTTAATTTTTAATTTTGAACAATTTGTATTGATAATTTGCGGTTTGCTTGTGCGCTCTAGATTGGTGTTTTTTTGTATGGATAATTTTATGACAAAATTGAGGTTAGAGTTTCTCAAACCCAACGGGTTTTACCTCGTGTTTTTTTGGCGGATAAACCCATGGATTTGGGTTTGGCAAAACCCGCCCCAACCCGACCCATTGCCATTCCTAACCGACAACGTGATGAGGGTGAATACTGGAGTCGAATTGGTGAAGAAAAGTTATGATACTAGGAAGCGTATCATGGACCATCCTCTAGATGAGGTGAAGGAGAAGAATAAAAGGGCAAAGCCAACCGCCTCAGAGAGATCGTTGCATTTTCCCCGCATTCCTCTGTGCAGGAAGATTGCGCAAGGCGGATGTTGCACGAGTTGTTAGGGAACCTCCTTGTAGTGTAAGAATGTTGTTTGATTGTTTTGTACTCGATCGTAAACATGCATTTGAACGATTATGTAGTTAATTCAGTAATGTTGTAGTTTGTTGATTTTTATATTTAATATGCTTATTTAGTTTATTCAGGTTTGTTATCCGGTATATTCCGGTTTTATTCTGGTATTATTCCGAAACGGTATCCCGAATCTGCCGGTACAGTTTTTTAACAAAAAATATTATTTAATTACAAAAACGGTATTATACCGATACACAACGATTGAACCACGGTAGTACCACAAAATACCCTACCACTGGCGGATCCCGTATGACTTCCGGTACGATTTTCTTTACCATGCTCGTAAGGCCCTCTCTTTGTACCCGACTATGAATCGTTCTTTTGATTTCCAGACCTGGCTGTATACCAGGATGTAACTATCGTTTTTATTAATACATGATTATCTTTTGTAAAAAAAATATTACTTTTTAATTTTGGCCATGTTTTATTAACGGATGCGGAAGGACACCCAAACTTTTACTCATTAACATAACGCGGTCATCACCCCAAGCTAGTCATAGAACAGCCAATAGTTCAACATGCTATTGGGAACTGAGATTATGTGAACTCGCAACGGAGAGGAGTACCCATAACTATAGGTGTCAATCGGGCGGGTTCGGGTTGGGTTCAATCGGGTTTGGGTTCAAACGGGTTGCGGGTTAGTCGGGTTGCGGGTTCATTGGGTTCGGGTTTATCGGGTTCGGGTTCAAACGGGTTGCGAGTTAGTCGGGTTGCGGGTTCATCGGGTTCGGATTCGATCGGGTTGCGGGCAAATCGGGTTGCGGGTTCATCGGGTTTTGGGTCGGGCGGGTTGCGGGCGGGTCGGGTTTCGGGTTGTTCGGGCCAGCGCATCAAGTAACTTAACTCATTACTCATTACCAACTTACACATTTTATTACACTAATTTAAAATATTTTCTCAACTTTTTAACCAATTTATTTCTACCTCGTATATATATACTTTATTTTTTTGAAAAAAACTAGTCAAAATGTTAAATCAATTTGTATGACTTGCAAACTTGTTATGTAATTAATCATAATTGGTAAAGTATTATAGCTAATAGTAATGGTGATATCAATATTTGCAACCAAAAAACACCGTTAATTGTTTATTTGATATTTTAATATTAATTCAGTAGTAATTGGATTAAAGTATCTCGTTTAGTATAAACCATGCAAATATGGTATTTGGCGTGTGGTATTTGGCAAAAGCATAGTGATAAAAGGAGTTATTTCAAAATAACTCATTGCCCAAATAACTTTAGTAAACTGTTGCCAAATGAGTTATTTGTAAAATTGTTTGAATTATCCTAAAAATTGAACCATTAAAGATTAGCTATCAAATTTAGTAAAATTATTGTGACTTCAATCATAACTTACTCAATAGCATATATCCTATACACTTAGCTTTACCCTCAATCAACAATATTAAGTTAGTATATGTTGTTGATTGTATACCCTAAACCATCAATACATTATACACTAACCACATAACCTATACCCTAACAATATGTCCTTGAGTTGTGATTTTGCTAGTATAGTTAATTTAAAAGTGAAATTCATACTTTGATTTTCAAAACATAGATAAAAAGTGATATTTGCTAATTGTTATACCCTAACCATATATCCTATACTTTACACCACATACCTTGTACCCTAACCACTTACCATAAACATATATTAAAAAGGGATCTCCTGCAGTTAAAGACTTCAAATGACTTCAAGTGAACATATGTTAATAAAAAACTTAGAACCGTCAAAACCATCAATATCTTATACCCTAACCATATACACCCTAAACCATATGTACCTTATACCTTATACCCTAACCATATATTTTATATCCTAAACAACGAACCGTCAAAGATTACTTATCAAGTTTAGTATAAATTGTTGTAACTAATAGTTAATTTATTTATTAGACCATATAAAAAATTATATATATATATATATATATATATATATATATATATTAGCCTTCAAAGCATATAAGAATAATTTTAACTAGTCATGGCCTCCATATAAAAGTTAGAGATTCATATTTCAAAAGCTAAAATTATGAAAAACCAAAAAATTGAAAACACCAAATTTGTTTCCTTCTTTCTTTTCACAAAAATACTAAAATTTCACTCCTTCTTTCTCCTTCCATACATTAGGAAAACTCAATTTTCCCTCATCTTTCTCTTCCATAAAATTGAAAGAACCAAATTACCCTCTTCTTTCCTTCTACATAAAGTTGAAAAGTCAAAAGTTTCTCTCCTTATTTCTCTTTCATAATCAAAAGAATCAAATTTTCCCACTTCTTTCTCTTCCCACATATCAAAACCACCAAAATTCCCACTTGTTTCTTTTCTAAAAAATTCAAAAAACCAAATTTCCCTATTCTTTCTCTTTCCAAAAACTTGAATACACCAAAATTTCACTCTTCTTTTAAAAACATCAAATTACCAAATACATTATTTTACTTTATTTATATTTAATAGATAATTTTATTGAATAGTTAAATTAACCAAAATTTTAATTTATATATTATATTAATATTGTCATGATCTCAAGTGACCTTCATGTATCAATTTTTATCATTTTCTTAAAATACATAATATCAAGTGAGTTTCATATTTTTAAAATTTTTTATACGAAATGAAAAAATAATTTCTTAAGTTTAGAATGAAAAACTTTATTTTGAAAAACTATGTATTGTATATTTTTATAATTATTCAAGTGGATTAGATGAAATTCGGGTTGAGTCGGTCAGGTTACGGGTTAGTCGGGTTTGAGTCAATCGGGTTCGGGTTAATCGGGTTGCGGGTCAGTCGGGTTTGGGTTAATCAGGTTGCGGGTTAGTCGGGTTGCGGGTTAGTTGGGTTGCAGATCAATCGGGTTGCGGGTCAAGCGGATTACGGGTAATTGACTTTTAGTCAATTCGAGTTGCGGTCAGGTTGCGGGTCGGATTGATCGGGCGAGTTAATCGGATCGGGCTATGTTTTGACACCTATACCCATAACCCAATAGAAACAAGGTAGTCGGCCACCACATTTCCCTTCTTGTCGCCACCTGCCAGTCAAACTGCAGTAGGCGTTTCAACTCCGCCACAACCGAGTGATGATTATTCCAAAAAAAACCGAGTGATGATGATGATTAATAGTAGCTTAATCGAGGAGTTGAAGGGCTACTTTAAGTCGCAAATCGATTCGAATTATATAGTTAAACTTAATTCAGTTCAATGCAATTTAAATCATAGGCTTAACTTTATAATCTTTTATTAATTGTGCCTTATTCAATCGACATTTCTGCAAATCACAATTTACCAATGCCAACCTTCCCCATATAATCATTTATTAACTTTATAATATTCCCAAAACCCCAATAAAATAACCCCCAAACTCCCATATATTACAACTCTGCCCACACACTCCACACACCGCGCCAAATCTTATTAGGGGCACTTCCGTAAAAACCAGCCAACCCCCCGCACCGCCAGAACCAGAAAACTCAGTCAGAACGTCGCCCTTTTCAACGAAGTCAGCGTGACCTTCGCCCCCAACGGCGACGCTGCGACCTCGACATCAAACGAATCATACCTCCTAAACAGCTCCACGACGAACAACCTCGCCACCATTACCACGAAATCCTTCCCGGCGCACTGCTTGTTCGCCACGCTGCTCTGCTCCGTCTCCGGCCCGTTCGACCACATCACGTGCGACAGCAGCTCCTCCCCGTCGCGAACGAACCGGTCGGGTACGAACTCCTCGGGTCGGTCAAAAATCTTCGGGTCCTTGGTCGCAAACGGTTGGTACCCGAACAGCATCTCCCCTTCTTTGACCTCATACGCCGCGTCGTGACTCTCCACCACGAAATCCTTCTTCGCCTTCCCGTACTGCAGCGGCACCGGCGGATCAATACGCATCGTTTCGTAGATCACGGATTTCATCAGCGGCATCTTCTCCATCGCCGCCATTGTGACGCCGGCGGCGGTGGCGGTTCGGATCTCCCGAGCGAGTCGGGTATGGAGCTCCACACCCGCCCGCCCGATCCAGTTCATCAGGCTCGGGAGCAGGATCTTGAACCCACCCCACGAGTTGAAGCATACCGCGAACAGGATGTTGTGGCAGGCCTCGTCCCTGGAGATCCCCGATTGCTCTGCCTCTTCGAGGACCGGTCCGGCGACGGAGGAGAAAAACTCGTAGAGGCGGTGGTAGTCGCTCTGGACCAGCGCCGACGGGAGGCGGACGGTGTGGAGGGTGGCCTCCTCGATCTCCTTGGGCAGCCCCACGGAGAGGATCGGGGCGAGATTGAACAGGACCCATTTTGAAATCAGCGTCGGCGCGTCTTTCCCCAACGGAGTGTCGACCGGCCTCACGCCGAAGAAGGCCCGGGAGAGGAAATTGAAAGCGGCCTGCTCGCTGGCTTCGGCGAAATCGGCTTTCCCCTTGGTCGCCAGATCGTACTCCAGCACTTCGAAGAGGTCGGTAATTGAGGAATTGAATTCGGGAATCACGTAATCGCGGCGGGATTTGATCAGATTGAAGAGCAATTGCTTGAGCTTGGTGTGATTGGATTCGGACGGGTCGAGGTAGGATAAAATTCGGTAGCCTCCGGTGAGATCCGTGGAGGGCATGTAGGTACCAGTGAAGACATTCTTCTTCTCGACTTTGGACAAATCGAAGAGGACAGGGAAGCTCTTGCCGTCGAGCAGGACGATGACGTGGGAGTTGGTGGCGATGAAAGGGCCCGGGGGCATGTTAACTCGGTAGATTGTTGATTGGTACTTCTGCATTCGGGATTTGAAGAACTCATCACGTCCTTGGTTGTAGAAGTAATCGAGTCGGTCATGGATTGGGCCGATTCCCGGGAGGCCGTAGTCGCCGGGAATCTGGCGGATTGGGAGGTTGGTTTCAGGGGATGTTGACGTGGCCGGTTTGGTGATGGAGGAGAGTGGGTCGAAAATAGAGGCTTTGATTGGGCGGGTGGCGGTGGAGAATCTTCTGGCGGTGGTGAATCGGTGTGGTGGTGGAGTGGGGTTTGGGGATTGGTGGAGCTTTGGGTTGACGGCGACGAAGTTGAGAGCAGAGGAAGCCATTTTTTTGCTGGTCGGGCGGGGAAATGGCTGCCGGAGGAAAAGCTGAGTGGGAGAAAGTGCTTTGGAGTTTGGAGTGGCGAACTGGTGATGGTGGAGAAAAGAATTTGAGCGGTCAGTTATTTATAGGGACTTCAGTGGGGTGGTGGGGCCCATACATCGCACTATTGACTGATAATTTATGATTAATAATTCAGAGCTTCTGAAAGTCATGCTTGGAATTTGGAAATGTAGGGATTATTTATCATGTTTCTCGGAAAAGTGAGTTTTCTATAAGAGCTTTTGTTAAACGTTAAAATAATGTTATGTATTGTTTGGATCTAAAATGTATGCAATATCAACTATGGAACATATGTAATAGGGATTGGCCAAGTTAGAAATTTGAAAAGTGAGGGAAATGAAAATTGAAATTTAAGAGATTTGACTCTAGTAATTCGGTAGGTACATCTATATTTGAAATTTGCTACATGATCTTAATATAGTTTGAAAATTAAGGGCCATAATAAAACATCTCCATGATGGAACTTGTGTTCGAAAAGAAAATAATTAATAGAAACATCATGTGCTGCGTTGGGTGTAGCTGATATTTCCTCGACATAATTGATGATTTAAAAATAGTTATTCGTCTGTATAATCCGTGTGCATACAATTGTCTGAACATATTTTGACATGGTATGGTTCATCAGCATATAAAAGTCAAACTAACTTTAACATTAGATGGTATATCGAGAGTAATTCTTATAAAAAAAAAACTAAATTCGAATCAACACAAAATGACAGGACTGCATTAGGATCAAGATGGGTAATTGCCTACCCCATGCTCCTACTTCTAAACTAGAGTTTTTTTTTTCTAAACTAGAGTTTAGACATATATATAAAATTGGTATCAAATCTGGAAAATATTACATTCGGCACGATGTTGACCCTCTGATTAACTACCACGATTCAAAAAATTTAGCTTTTTTATTTTTATTTTTATTTTTTTTGCTCATACTCGCTCAAATTTATGACCCGCAACTATCAACACATAGATAATCTTCTATTGATCAACTAAACGCAGACTTAAAATAAACAAAAATAGCAGTGGAAAACTTTCATTTCAAAAATTAGCCCGACCAAAAAAGGCAGGGTAAAAGAAAAGGTACACTACACACGTTAAAAACAAGCCCGGCAAAGTGATGTTGCGAAGTACAAGTATCATTAAACCATTTCCAACTACTTTTTCATCTATATCCATTGCCCGATTCTATGATTGTAAATTTATAATTGCAAAATATGGTATCACTAGCAATTACCAATCAGTAAACAAGAACTTGGAAAGCGCTAGCTAGAAAAAAAAAAAAGGGCAAGCAATGAAGTACCCAATGCATGTGTTGGTTTTTTTAGCAATGCCTGTGATTTTTTTTAACTCGCGCTATGAGGATGGGATGAAAAAAATTCTATTTGTATAAAATGGAGAAAGTATAAATTTAAAAAACCCAAAATAGAGATGAGGATAGATTTATGACTTATGAGGAAGAGAAAATTTTAGTTCATTCGCATTAAAATCAAATTAATTCTATAAAATATATGTTATCAATTTCAAAATCGAGTTTTTTTTGCCATAATTTGCTTACCGAGTATGAAAATACACAAAAGTTGACGGGCTCCATCAACATCTTGATTTGCTCTATTGATTCACCAGCTCGGATTCGGCGCTGTCATTTCTACTTGACTTTAATTTCGCTTATTTGTTTGTTGTTTGGACTCTGCTTTGATTTATTAACTGATTCATCTTATGTTTTCTTTGTTTTAGTTTAGATTATGTTCTCAAGGAAACAACAAAGAGATGTGCTTGGAACATCCCCAGATTTGTCTCCGCTTCTTCCAGTCCGCCTGCAATCGCTTTCTCTAACCTTCTCTATTGCAAGATTTTGGTTGCCAGTTTTCCTTCTTCTTGTTTTCCTTGTTATACTGTATAGTTACCAAACGGCCAGAACAGGTAGAGCAGATTTCCAACCTGGGCGGCACTACTCTTTGCCTCCATACAACTTTCAGCCTCCACTTCTGAATTCTCTGCTTCAGCTTTCGACTTTAGCGATAGTCACCGTTGTTGGCAACTCTTCCACCGTGTTCCCTCCACCGTGACGTACTCGTTGGCACTGCCGCCAGCCTCACTTTCAATGGCGGTGGGGCGGTGAGCTGGATAAGCTCTTGGCTCTAAGGCGGTGGAGTGGATTAGTCTCCAAAGATTTCGTTCCAACTGGAATCATGGTGGAAGGGCACGTAGCTTGTCACACGACCTTTTTCTTATCGGGTATCGACTAGCATTCTTTCATGGGTTTGTTTGGCATGTGGCTTTCCATTAGTTTGTTTTGCAGGCCTTGTAGGTGTAGCGGTGGAGCATTTAAGTGGCAGCGTGTCACATTGTGTCATTGGTGCACAAACACCAGTTACACAAGTGTACGATTGAAATATCTTCCGAATTTGGATATTCAAATCATTCGGTTGCAGTTTATATCCTTTTCTAGTTTTCTAGTGTTTTTGTCACTTTATTCTTATGAATTGACAAAACTGCCCATTTAGAAGAAGTAAAAAAGACTTTTTTGTCGACAAATCGGTTAATATCAACATTCAATTATTTTTACAATGTATCTTGTCTATTATTTCATCTTACTATGATAATTAATAAAAAAATTACACAAAAGTCTATGTACCGTCCAACTCCCTACAACAATCATGTTACGTTTGTTCCTTTTGTGTGGAATACACTACCGAGTTGGTCGGACCTTTGAATTTTGATTAAAATAAAGCATGCGGTCAGCCACATGCGCATGCTGGCTCAATGACTGCTAGTTGGGCCTTCACCAGCTCATAACCCTTGTGAAAGAAAGCGCTGGTCCTCACACGTGGATAAATACCCGATGAAAAATACTAAACGTCAGCGAGACGGTGGCAACTCCACCGTCCACTCCGTGAGTCGGCGACCGCCGGCGTATAGGAACTCGCCGAAAGGCCGACGGTTCTAAAAGTGGCGGCTCGCGAACCGAACTACATATCGGCGCTTGTAAGTTAGTGGGCTGGGCTTGGGTTTGAGTTTGAGTTTGGGCTGGAACTGACCTAACTCAGGTCAAAGACGAAACATCTAATGGTTCTTTTTAAGAATGACTGCGTTCTGTTTGTTTACGACAGCTCCGACCAATTCTGCTTTCAAACCTTTCATTTTCCTGCTTTTTTGTTTGGGAGCGGTTAGCGTGACTACCCTCCTAAGAGGGTCTGATTTTTGACACCCCTCTTAGATACCATCCACCTAATTCAAATTCAATCCCATTTTTTTCTCTCTTTCTCCTTCTCTCTCCCTCGATTCCCTCTTCCCCTGCCTGCTCGCCGCCGTCGCCTCTTCCTCGCCACGGTCCATGGTTTCCGATCGTTGACGCACCAACAAGATCCTCTCCCTCCGACTCTCTCTCATCCTCCGTCGTGGGCTAAGTCTCGGATAATGGCTGCCGCTGTTCTCCGAGCAACACCAGGCGTGTCGCCGTGACTCTCCATCTCCTTCCTCAAATCTCGGCACTGCAAAGGGATCGACGGAGAAGACGACGACCCTCCTCACCTTCCCTACGAGATGACTTCACTCCTGCCATTCATGCGGTGGCTCTCCTCCCCTTCCCGGCGAAGACGATGACGAAGAAACTGAGGTATCTATCTCTCCCCTATTGTCTCTTACTCCCAAACCCAAATCTGGATTTTCGTGTGGATTTTTTCATGTGGTATAAATTGTTGACATTGGCAAAGAAGTGTACCACTCCAGTGATAGTTGATTTGACAAAGCGTTCTGTGTATGTCTATCACCAAAGTGGTATATATTGTTGATTCTGGCACGAAAGTGTACCACTCCAGTGATAGTTGATTCTTGGATAATGAAGTATTATTTCTATGAATACAGTCTATCATTGCATTGATAGTTAGTTGTGTGAATGTTCTTGTATTTCTACCACTAGTGCAGTATTTGGTGTACCGTTGTAATTGTAATTGTACCATTGATAGTTAGCCGTGTGAGTGTTCTTGTATTTCTACCATTAGTGCAGTATTTGGTGTACCGTTGTAATTGTACCATTGATAGTTAACCGTGTGAGTGTTCTTGTATTTCTACCACTAGTGCGGTATTTGGTGTACCGTTGTAATTGTAATTGTACCACTGATTTATATCACTGCAGTGATAGTTGCAAAGATGTATTGGTAATTCTACCACTAAATTCTACCACTATAGTGATAGTTGTCTTACTTATCAAACTCATTTCTATCACTGCATTGATAGTGTTGATTATTGTCTGCAGGAATGGTCAGGACGAAGAGACCGTAACTTGGAATGCCTAAAGGAAAGAGGCATGGAAGCTATGTTCCTCGCCACGTAGAAGTTGGGGTAGGTCAAGATCATTCATCGAGTGCGGGTACCAACAAGAAGCAACGCTGTGAGAGCCGGGATAACATACAATATAGGGGGAAGAGGAAACGTACCGATGATGTTAGCGGCAAGAAGTGCAACCCCAACTTTATAATTCAAATTCTGTTTTTCCGCCAAATTACCTAAGTGACCCGGTCATCCTTCGACACCTGATTTACCGTTGTTTAGACTTCCCACAAACAATTTCTTAGTGACTTCATGTTTTATTTGTTACATTGGCTGGATATTTTATTGTTGTTGGCATGTTCCTTTTTTTATAACACATTTTACTCTACGGCTAGTGGTGATACTAATGGAAAATTGTTGGTTTGCTTACGTATCAAATTGGTTGTACATGCATCAGTTCAGTGATACATCAATTAGTACAATGGTATGTGTATCAGTTCACTGGCACATCTTTCAGTTTAGTGATACATGTACCATTTCAATGGCACTACTCAAAAGTATATATAACAATGCAACGAGAACATTTAGGATGAGTTTCGATTTTGCTCATGGTACAAGTACATTATATCTAATGCTGCAAGTGGGTGGTCACATTCTTGGTGTGGAAAGTATG